TGAAGCGCTTTGGGACGTCTAGAAGACGTGAAAAGTGCTATATAAAAAAAAATGCAAGGAAAAAAATGCAAGGATAGTCTTAAGCGTGGTGTTGGGTTTCAGTCTGCATCTGTTTGACATCCGACAGACCAAGTAAAAACAACAACACAACAACAATTTATAGCACCATTCACTCAGGGTAGCGTCCCGGAGAGCTTGCACAGTGCCTAGGTGAAAAGTTTTCTAAGGCTTTCTGTGCTCTCAAGGGTCAATTTTATCCCTTATGCAACTGACTCTGGACTTCTGGTTTCTGTCTGTTGCTAATAGACAGATAGAAACAATATTTCTGCTGGTGACTATTCGGCTGGAAGGCTTGATGCAGAACAGAACTTTGAATGCTACTGGAATTCATTGAAGCCAGACTAATGGATGGGGAAGATGAAGATGTACTTTTCTAGAAGCAATTATTCTGAGCATTAAAACGCCAATGGAAGAAACAGCTCTTCAGGACTTAATGTCCTGGCAACAATTCCCCAAATAAAATTGGGTCACTCATTAGGACTGTTCGTAGGACATTGCTGGGCGTATGTCTGCTACCATGTTCGCTATAAATACACAGTGGCTACACTTCACAGTAAAATTCTACAATAGTGTTTTTATTGGCATATTCAACTAAGTTGATCTCCATCTAGCCGGCAACCCAACATAACCAGTAGAGAGGAATCTATGCCACTTGTATGCTAAAATATATGTTGTGCATGATTAAAAGTATGCAATTTATATATGGAGGAAAATTAAATGAATCTATTAAGAGCTAGTCAAAGCTATGGGATTACAGCATGGCACTTAAAGACCTTTATGTCACCGAAACAGACACTTACTGTATTCTAATGCCCACAGCATACTGAACAGTGATGACGTAACCTTGAATGACTCTCTCACATGGTTGAGACCCAAAACAGCTTGTGCTAAACCAGTCTCAAAACGCAACACTGAGAGTAGAGCTGTAACAGATTATTCAAAGTAAGACAGTTCACTGTTATAGGCTTATTGTGTAACAAATGCACCTCTTTCATTCTATCATCTCTCCCTTCTATACCCCACACACATTGTAGAACGGTTTCTCTCAACCCTTTTTGAAGTCAGTGACCTGTCACATTCATTAATCTAAAGAGATTGTTGGTATGGACTCGCCATGGAGTTACCACAGACCCAGAAACTGTCCTTGAAACTCAAACATTGCAGTAGAAGACTTCAGAAGTTCAAATTATTCGATTCAACTTAATGAAATATGGAATCGCTACCTCAGGTTTTGGTCTTGTCTTATTTTCTGTGAAAACAAGCAACCCCAAACGCCATCTCAAGTATTTGGTTTCCTGGAATTAGATCTGGACCCATATTTTCTCTATGTGCTTTGTGTTAGTGCCAGACACTGAGACAAATTGTGATTCTCCGCACCGCAGTGAAAAAGTCCGTTCTATTTGGAAATGCAAGCCTCAGTTTCAAAGTAGCCAGTTCATTTAATTTTTAAAAAAACATTTGCAACAGAATAACACATGGAAAGGGAGTAAATCATCTAATATCGCACCGTACAAAAAATCTAAATGAACTGAACTGAATACAGTATTTGATATCTGTTTGTGAAGAAGAATATGTAAGGAAGTGTTATACAAATTTATATGGCACCTTTCACGTAGGGAGGATGTCGTAAAATGCTTAAAAAGCCAAGCTATGCAGTTCAGAAGGCAGTCAGGCAGTCAACCTGTTCTCATATCTTTTGTTAATTACTAGAATGCTGAGATTCCCCCGACTGGCATAATGTATTTGTCTTCGGCTTAACAACTCCCCATCAGCAGGGCACCAAATCTGTCCCTTCTGTTTTTGTCTCTCGGCCCTTGACCAAGGATCAAAACCAGTAGGAAAGATTACAGAAACATCAAGACTTGGTTACATGATGCTAAACTGGGCTAAGGAATAAACTGGATATTGTTGAAGTAAAGGAAGATTGATGGAGTTAAGGCGTTTTTATAAATCTTGAGGTCCTGGGAAAGAATGAGTTATTCATGAAGACTTTGTGATTGTTTCCACATGAGATGGAAAGAAAGGGAAGACCACACAGTGTTGGTTTATTTGAAGCTTTGGAGGGCCAAGAGAAGAGTTTCTTCTGGTACATTATTGATAAAAATAAAGTCAAGAAAGATTGCGACAGAGACAGAGGGTTTGGCACTGGAAAAAAAAAGAAAGATCGTCTATCAGAAGGCAAGTGATTACTTGGATTATTTATGAGAGGTGTTGAACCCACCTCCCCTGATGTGGGAAAATATTTCCGTCTTGGACGATTTGAGTTTTATAGAGAGTGAGAAAATGACCACTGAATCAATCTAAAAATATATCAAATTCTGTCACTGTCTGCACCCCTACATAGCTGTACGGATTTGATCATTTGCCAGAGGTACTAATAATAATAATAATAATAATAATCCTTGCATTTGATATAGCGCTTTTCACGTCGGGAGGACGTCCCAAAGCGCTTCACAGAACATACTGCAAAGTGAATTGACTGTATATTTGTGGGCGAACGCGGCAGCCAATTGCGCACAGCAATGTCCCACAAACAGTCGTAGATTGAAAATGACCAATTAATTATTGTTTTTGGTTTTTGAAGGGATTATTATTAGGCGTGTGGAGTAAAGAAACTTGCCCAAGGTTTCAGCCCTGCCTGGAATTGAACTCAGGTCTTTCACTTGCAAAGCGAGTGCTCTAACCACTGAGCTACAGGACTCCACAGTCCTAATGTGAGGGGGGAGAAGGGGAGAGAGGAAAAAATGCAGGATAGAGACCATACAATGCATAGTTTATGCATCACAAATGTTGGGACCAGAGAATAAGGAGTTAAAATCCCTGAGTGGCAACACATGAAATCTTCCAGTTCATTTCACCACACAGTTGATTTGTTCGTTTGCCAGTGTTGCTGCTGAAAAAAATGTATATGTATATTTTTGGCAATTTTCACTTTTTGTCCCCTCCTCCTCTACTGACTCTTGTTGAGGTACAATTCTGTGGCTATTGGCCACCAGCCTAGATCCCCCCACCCCCCCAGCATTTTATCTGACAAACCATTCATCATGTGTGAACCTCAAACAGTGAATGTCAAGTAAGTTTTATGGCTTGGGAGGGAGGGAAGAAATTATAGTTAAGGCCAATCCTGCCCTCACATATCCACCAGTGATTGAGGAGAGAGGAGGCAGACCTGTGATAGGGGAGAGAGACATTACACAATCCAGATATGGGGGAATTGTTGAAGCAGACCCCGTCAATTATAATAAAATGGCAATATTCATTTGTAAAATTTCTGAAAATTATGGTTCTGACCAGCGGGGAAGCTCCCAGCAGCGAGATAAGTTTCCAAGTGGAGTTCAGGATGTTCAGCTTGAGACACATCCAAGTTCCTACAGGATCTGCTGTTCACATATTCTTTTGAGAATAGCACAAGTTAAACCCTGTTGAACCATCACCTGCATGTAATAATAATAATAATAATAATCCTTGCATTGATATAGCGCTTTTCACGTCGGGAGGACGTCCCAATATTTGATATAGTGCTTGCAATGTCAAAACATCTCAAAGTGCTTCCCAAGGAATTGAAGTCAAGTTAAGCGATTGTGTGTTTCCTGACAAACATTGCAGCCAATTTGTGCATTGTCCTACAAGCAGACATGAGGTGAATGACTAATTTACCTGTAAGATTATTGGCTAGGAGACTTGGAGTAACTCTCTTCTTTTGATGAATAGAGCAATAGGATCTTTGTCATCCACACTAACATGCATTTGGGATCTTGGTTTAACATCTCACCCAAAGGACAGAACCTCCACCAATGCAGCGCTCCCCAAGAACGGCACTGGAGTGTCAGCCAAGACTGTGTGTTTGTTTTTTCTCCAATGTTCCATTTCAGGATAATTATAGGTCCTTGCATTTTCCAGCAATAAAAAACATTCTGAAACCTTTAAATGCCAGTGAGTTGAGCCACCTAGAGACTAATCAAAGAAATCAGTCTCTTTGAAATTTTGCTTGAGTCCCCAATGACTGTCAAAGTTATCCAAGCTTGAGTAGAATTTACTAATAATTTATGGGCCTGCCGTTATCTGCATTAGATTTAAAAAGAAACAGGGCTATTAAATATAAAAATATGTTTCTCCGAGTTTTAGGTTAATGTTTTTCTTTGGGAGGGGGAAAGAAGTATTTAAAATGTGTTCAAAGGCAAATCATTTCTTGTGGGGATTGCAGGAGGATTAGAGGAAAGGAGCAATGCTGAGACTAGCCTGACTCCTAAATTGCACAGTTATTAAGATACTCTCATACTCTGCAAGACCAAATAAACTCAGTCTATGTTATCAAAAGGCAGTGTGTCCTAGAACAGGGATAGCCAACTTGTGGCCCACAGGCCACATATTCTACACTTTCATATTGCATCATGGATGTGGCCCACACGCTGTATATTGGCCATCCCTATGCATGGGACACGTGCTTTACCTTGATGATGATAGCTTTTACTTACTTTCACCCAAAAACCTCCTTGATTGCTTCAAAAGTACCTTAAAAGCTAATGTAATCATCGGTTTTACCCCAGAACGTCAATGGAATAATTTAACAATGTGTCTGTGAAATCTCCCCGTGTTATTAATGCAACACTAAGCAAATATTATCCAAGGATAAGAAAAAGACTTTTCGACATGACTTAACTGTGAGGAATGGTGCTGACTTTTCACTGATGTATGGACAGTGCTTAAGTGCCTTGTGTTTAGCTGCCTTATTTTGAAGGAATACATTCCTCTTGGTGGTCATTTTCACGCTGACTTATAGTCAATTACATAATGACTGTCCTAATGTTAAAGCAGTTTAAGTGCTACTTTGGCTGGTTTGCATTTTGAGACATCGGGTTTAACAATGCAGTGACATTTTTCACACTGCTGTGCTGAAACATCAATTACACTTAATAATTGGGAGCAGTACGTTAAGATACCATTTCTGTAAGTGTAATCTTTCTGAATGTCGTCACCCCAGTCTCTCCTCCCATTCGGATTTTATCAGCCACAGTGCTCAGCCTCTGTCAGGTGCTCTGGGACGTTATCCTGCAAGTTGTTGTTGTAGCTACAGTCAAGGGAGGGCCTCCGGTTCTGTAAAGTCAAGAGGAAACAGCTCATCTGCAGGAATTAGGGGCTCCACCATCACTCTCTCCCCCGCCTCCTCCCTGCCCATCCGCCACTCCTGCGTCCTGCCTCTTTCTGGAGTGGCATTAACAGCTGTCATGTAATGCCAGGCTGCCCCTTGCCCAGAGAAGAATGTGCACTGGTCTGCAAACTAAATGGGGAAAACTGTCAGGGAAGCAGATAATGCTCCCATTAGGAAAAGGACTTGCAGACTGCTAGGGAACCAAATACCGAGTGTTACTGTTCTACCAAGAAATTGGATGCAAGCTACAGACCCGCCCTCCTTAGCAGCCTCTGCAATGCATTCCTCACAGTTTGAGAGGCACGCCTAGCTGCTAGTGTAGCAACCGAGTCTGCACGCAACTGGTGTACCATTACACAATGACATGCGTCATTGTAAAGTGGGTGCTTCCTCTTAACTTGATCTGAGTTAGTTTTAAAATAAAAGTTTGTTCACTTATTAAAGTTACTCGCGTTTTATATAATCTGACGCCTGCACTGCCGCCAATTGCCCTACAACAACTTATGTTGATATAGCGTACCCTTTGTGAAAAAGAAACATCTCGAAACACTTTAGAGAATGAGACAGATTAGAGGTGAAGGTGTGGAGGCAAACTCCACAACTGATTTGCAATAGCAACATTCCACAAATCAATTTGAATTTTTGGGAGGTGAACTTGGATACATAAACCAGCATAACTAGACGAAACATTCCATCCAGTTTTGAAACAGAATTGAGTGGGGAGAACCCTAAATGTCCCCCTGAATCAAGGCAGACCAGACCAACCCTAAATTAATGATTCCACTGAAAAAAGATACAGAAATTAATAAATTAGTCACTCGTGTGTTCATGAGTTTGGGCTCACGTGTTGACAGTACCACAAGACTACACCGGTTTATTTTCACCTAGAATTCATTTGTAGGGAGCAGGCATCCACCCAGTTGTTCATTAAAATATTTACGTTGTGCTAGGAGGAGCTTCATAGAGAACATTTTGTTCATCTGTTTTTAGAAATGATATGTGATTACCATCTGTCACTGCCTGTGTTGCTTTATATTAATATCGGCCTTGCCGGGTCTTTAAGAATCCACGCTAGCCTCCAAAGGATTGTTAATGGAATGTCCCTTCTTGTAATCAGCGTGGTGATAATTCTTAACCCAGATCAAGGCACACCCTCTCTAGAAAGATTTACTGCAAAGAGCTTTCTGAAACATTTTATGCAAAAGTTTACTGCAGTTGGTCACAAATCCTGCGGTGAAAAGCATGTTTTGAACTTACTGCTCCATTGACAAAATGTGATATGTTAATTAACGGATGTCTGGTATCTGATGAAGTGTCCAATTAACGAAAGGACCAGTTCTATTTGTAAGGCCTGAACCATGTGTGAACTGTCTGGCGACAACTTGAAAACTTGCTGACATTACAAATGTAACCTGAGCTTCAATTGCTGAATTTCCATTACTGATAATGCACATGATTTAGGTTAATGCCTCTCAAAAGATTTAATCCATAATAGCCTTGTACAGGGTCTGTATAGTCCTTGGTCAAAGCAGACAGGAAACAGCAGGGACCTTTTCCCCTACCTATTATTTGCAGACATTGCACAGATCTCAGACTTGGTGGCACTTTTAGTATGAGATAAATGCCAAGCAGTATGAGATAAATGCCAAGTGTTATCATCTTTGAAATGAACGAACTCCTTGCAAATGACTTCAAAATGATCTCCAGAGACCAAAGCTAAAAATACAATGGCTACCAAATCATTATTATTAATAATAATAATAATAAGTCTTATATTTGATAATAATCTTTTCACCTTCAGTCAGCAGAAAAACAGTGACTTTAATCTTATCAATCTGGGTTGTGTTTGTCCCAGAGGTGGAGGGTTCCAACCCATTGCACCTCCCAATCTCACAAGCCTTAGATTTATTCAGAATTTAGTAAGAGAAACAATCCTTGCATTTGATATAGGGCCACATCATGTCTTCAAGATATCTCAAAGCGCTTCACAAGCTTGACTGCAATAATAATCCTTGCTTTTGATATAATAAGATGTAACGTTTAGTGACTGGATTTTTCTGGAATTTTTTTTAGCATTTTGTGTATTTCATTGACCAACATTAACAACAACAAAATTACATTTTACAGCGCCTTTCTCATCAGGAGGATGTCCCAAGGCGCTGGACAATCAGTGTTTCAGACCTGAGCTGGGGGTCGAGACTGGGGAGGGTGGAGGGAAGTGGGGGAAGGAGGGTGATCGAAAGCATGATCAAAGAGGAGGGTCTTGAGATGGAGGCAAGGGAGGAGGCGAGGCAGAGGGACTGTGGAATAAAGTTCCAGAGGGTGGGGGCAGAGTGGCAGAAGGCCTGCCCGCCAATGGTGGGGCGGGTAACGCAGGGGAATTGTTATGGAAAGTTTACTGAATGTCGGTTCGACATCAAGTCCTGGATAAGACCGAGGCTCTCCTGATTGGCTCCCGTCAGTGCCTCCACACCTCAGACGCTGACAGCATCACCATCCATGGATGCACACTCCACCTTATCAAGCCAGTCCAGAACCTTCGCAACTTGTTTGACCATCAACTATCCTTTCTACCCCACATTCATGCCATGACCCGCTCTGCCTTCCCCCAACTCCGCAACATCTCCAGCTCCGCCATTGTCTCACACCGCAGGCCGCAAACCCTCATACACGCATTCGTAACATCCAGGCTTAACTGTGCAAATTCCTTGTTTGTTGGCCTCCCCAACTCCTCCCTCCATAGGCTGCAGATCATCAGAACTCTGCAGCCTGTGTCCTCTCCCACACCAGGCTCCATGACCCTATCACCCCCATCCTCGCCCGAATCACATAAAGGATACAGTTCAAGATTTTGGTCCTCACCTTCAAAACCCTTCATGGCCTGCCTCCCCCCTACCTCTGCGACCTCCTTCCCCCCTACCAACCTGCTCGAATTCAAGATCCTCATCCTCACCTACAAGGTCATTCACGGCCTTGCTCCCTCCTACCTCTCTGACCTACTATCCCCTTACCTACCTGCCCGTACCCTCCGTTCCTCTGGCTCCGGTCTGCTCCACATCCCCCGCCCCAACCGCCCTACCATCGGTGGCCGGGCCTTCAGCCTCTCAGCCCCTAGGCTCTGGAACTCTATCCCCCAGTGCCTTCGCCGCTTCCTCCCTTTCCTACTTCAAGGCCGGTCTCAAGACCTTTCTCTTTGATCATGCCTTCAGCTCCCCTCTCGACTCTCTACCTCCTCCTCGCTCCCTCCCTTCCCTCCCCTCACCCTGACCATTTCCCCCCTGCTCGGGTCCTGACCCAACTGTACAGCGCCTTGGGACGTCCTCCCGATGTGAAAGGCGCTCTATAAATGGATTGTTGTTGTTGTTGTTGTTGTTGCTCACTCCTTCCGATCAGCGGACGCCGGCCTGCTTCACAACCTCCGCCTTGCCTTCCCCACAATTGGTGAGGGGTGGGCATTCAAAAATTGACTGTTTGTGGGACATTGCTGTGCGCAATTGCAGCCACTCTGTCCCCACCCTCTGGAACTCCCTCTACCTCGCCCCCTCCCTTGCCTCATATAAGACCCGTCTCAAGACCATACTCTTCAACCGTGCCTTCAGTCACCCTCCTTCACCCCAGTCCTCCACCCTCCCCGATCCCAACCCCCAGCTTGGGTCTTGAACACTGATTGCCTAGCGCCTTGGGATGTCCTCCCGACATTAAAGGAATGATACAAATTGTTGTGGTTGTTATCTTCCCTACAAAATATTTCATAAAATTATTCAAAATGAACTGCTTTGAACTATTAAAATGCTTTATTTCCCAGGAATTTATTTGTTTAGTTAACTGGATTTGTAAATACTAGTGATACAAGGGGGAGGTCTTCTGCTGTGAATGAGATCTTAAAATCATAGAAATTTGTAGCACAAAAGGAGGCCATTTGATCCATTGAGTCTGCACCAGCTCTCAGAGCAAACTTACTGCCTGCCTTATCCACGTATGCCTTCAAGCCTCTAACTTTCATGTACCCATCTACTTCCCTCTTGAAATTCACAATGGACTCTTGCTCTAAGACCTTACTATGCAGGGCATTCCACATCCCATCAACTCTCTGAGTGAGAAAAACATCAGACTTCCAGGTATCACAGGTTTGATGCCATTGCACAAAATATACAGTCAATTCACTTTACAATATATTCTGTGAAGTGCTTTGAGACGTCTCGAAGATGTGATAAGGCACTATATCAAATGCAATGATTATTTATTATTATTATTGCATCACATCTTCACAGAGAGCTGAGGCTTTGCTTGCAGAGATAATGAGGCTCCATTAACACCAGCCGTCCTCAGCTTCTGCTATTCCTTTTTGGTGAGCTGGGTGTCTGTCACATGCAGAAACCCATTACCACACTCAAAGGGTATCCAAACCAGATTGAGAGTTTCACATTTGCATGCTACCTGAGCATGGAAATTTCCCTATGTCTGGAATGGAATGCGCAGTCTCTTCTTAGAAGGATGTCCCATACTTATCTAATTCCGGAGAGTATTAGATCATCTGGCTGAATGCCCAACCATGATGGAGTTGAATGGGGATGGAAGCTCACACACAAGGCGAATGGATGACTTTAGTTATTAGTAGCCTTCATTGGATGCCCATTAACATCACAATTTTCACCCAAATATATAAATGATGTCACACGGAGGATTATTTTCCACTTTGTCAATAAATTCATGAATCTTTGGTGGCTAATCCATATCATTCTCCACTTGCAAATTGCTAGTCTGAGCTTTGCCTGTGTCCAATTTGAAATTTGTGGCTTTTCATAAATGAGTTTCCTTCCTTCCATCCATTGTTTTTGTGTGTTCCTTCCCC